TTTTCCGGTCAAAATTTAAAATACTGCATAAATTTCTAAAATTATGAAGAAATTATGTATTAATATACGTGTCAAATAAATATAATAATAAAAAATTCGATTGTTTTAAGTTTAGAATAATTCAAAGTGCATCCATCAATCAAATTTAGATTAAGAGTGCGTTCGTTTCGCGGAAAACAAGTGATGCGAAAAATACTTAATGAAAAATGATTGCTTATATCAAAAAAATAAGTCAACAGAAAATGTTTACATCATCGATAACAATCTACGCTTAACTATTTTCATAGGCGATGAAAAATTTTTCCATTCATTTATTTTCGTAAGAGATACAAGCAATTATTTTTTGGAAAATATTTTTCAAATCACTCATTTTTTGCGAAATAAATGCACCCAAGGTAAAATGTAAAAGTTCATCTGGGCATGTTTTTATGTTCTGGTGTCATCTTTTCCTACCTAAGCTTCAAATATGTGAATGCTCCTGCTAGCCCACTCTCCTGTTTTCCTTTTTCATCTTTAAGCCATTGTTGTCATATGAAGATGAAAAAAAGCGACTCTATGCTCACCTGCAGCGGACATGGGGCTTGTCGGTTTTTCTTTATTTGTGAGAGTTTGCGTGTGTGAGAGAGAAGAAAAGAAAAGTCTATTCGTCGCCGTCGTTATTAATGTAACGACTTGGTTTTGTAAGGGATGAGAGTGCGGCTCCGCCTCGAGGATGGCGAAGGGGACAGCAATAAACCAAATCTCACATTGCCTAGGGACGGTGAGGTGATGTGTTATATAAGAAGTAGCACCAATCTTAACTACCGACAAGGCCTTTTCTGGGCTTCACCCAGAGTAACAAAACCGTGTGGGTTGCAGCCCATAGTGGACAATATCGTTGGCAAATGAGGCCAAAGGTTGGCCCTTACAATAGCGGAATGAACCGAATCCCACATCGCCTAGGGACGGTGAGGTGATATGCTATATTAGGAGTAACACCAGTCTTAACTACCAACGAGACCTTTTCTAGGCGAAGCTCAGAGGAAGAAAATCGTGCGGATTGCAACCCAAAGCGGACAATATCGTTGGCAAGTGGGGCTAGAGGTCGGCCCTTACAATGGTATCAGAGCTAAGCTTAGCCAGAAAGTGTGTGGTTCGGAGATGAACTAGGTGGAAACTGGTGGGCCTGTAACGACCAAGTCCTATGAGGGATGGGAGTACGGCTAGGCCTTAAGCATGGTGAAGGGGACATGAATGCATTGAATCCTACGTCACCTAGGGATGGTGAGGTGATGTGCTATATAAGGAGCAGCACTAGTCTTAACTACCAAAGAGGCCTTTTCTGGGCGAAGCCCAGAGGAAGAAAACCGTGTGGGTTGCAGCCCAAAACGGACAATATCGTTGGCAAGTGAGGCCAAAGGTCGGCCCTCACAATGGTATCAGAGCAAAGCCCAGCTGGAGAGTGTGTGGTGCGGGGACAAACCAGGTGGGAACTGGTAGGCCTGTAACAACCCGATCCTACGAGGGATAGGGACGGTGAGGTGATGTGTTATATAAGGAGTAACACTAATCTTAACTACCAACAAGTTATTTTCAGTGCGAAGCCTCGAGGAACAAAACCGTACAAGCTGCGGCTCAAAGCGAACAATATCGTTGGCAAGTGGGGTCAGAGGTCAACTCTTACAATTAATGCCTAGAAAAATACTAAGCAAAGGTTATTCATAGACACTAATGTTTGTGTAAACATGTGAGCGATACAATTCCATTTTCTCCCAAAGCTTCTTTCTCTAGACTTTCTCTCTCTACGATCCGGGCAAGTGAGTGAGCAATCGACTCTCAAGAAAAGACTTGGCTTAGGCGCTCCAACGATTCAAGGAAGCTTAAGTCGTCACATGAGGTCCGATCCTAAACAGCCGACCGACATTAGGCTACTAGCCTACTAGTAGCCTATATAGTATTTGAACTGGAAGCTCCGCGCTTGAGCATGGAACTCATTCCCAAGTCTATCAAGGCCGGATACGAGACCCCAGTGCCCGTGCTCATTACCATTTCCCACTTTTACAAATCGAAGAGTCTCGACAACAAATATGTAAGTCCCTATGTATCATTCGGCGACCACAAGCCACAATTGCAGGTCCCGTGGCTGAGAGCGTTTTTTCGCAATTCATTTGGGTTCAGGCTTTTGGGGTGCTTGTTTGTGAAATGTTTCCCTCATTTCGATTCTGCTTTCGATTAGGCAAAGCTTAATGGGATAGCCAATTGCAAGAGCACTCTGTATCAATTATCATTTTCCATCTTAACCGAAGCTCGGCTAAGACGTGGGTCTCTACATTTTCCTCGTGTAATAGTTCCATTTCAATTATTGTCGACAATGAAAATATTGTTCATTAACTAGTTATTTCAAGCTACACGAACGTCTATTTTTAGGAAAATACTTTCCGAATCATTCATTTTCCGCGAAATAAACAAAGCCATCCAATTCTAACTATTAACAAAATGTATTCCCCTAGAGTTAGGGCTGGTCAATCTCGAATGACAGTTGGACAAGATATCCATATACCTTTAAATTCTACCTTCAGAAAATCTTCATCCAATTCTAACTGGTAGGGCCTATTTTGTTAGGCATTTTAAAAAAGTAAAAGACATTTTTTTCCAGTCAAAATTTAAATTACTGCGTAAATTTTATAAAATTATAAAGAAATTATGTATAAATATACTTGTTAAATAAATATAATAAAAAAAATTTTGGTTGTTTTAAGTTTAGAATAATTCAAAGTGCATCCATCAATCAAATTTAGATTAAATAAAATGTAAAACGTAGAAGTTCATCTGCACACGTTTTTATGTTGCGTTAATACCACGAAAAACCCCAAACTGATACATCTGTGATAATTTTATCCTCTACTAGTTTCAGTTAAATTTTACTGTCAAATTTTTGAGTTGGATGACTTGTGGTAGTTGACGGGTCTACTAGTTTGGAGTTCTACACTTTGTATATCATAATTGTACCAGTTTACGATTTTTCGTAATATTAATTCAATTTAATGAAGGGTAAATTTGTCATAAATATATCAGTTTGGGGTTTTTGGTGGTCAAAACATTAATTTGAAGTAAATTTATCATAAGTGTACGGTTTTTTGTGGTATTAACCCTTTTATGTTCCACTGGTGGTGTCATCTTTTCTGCCCAAGTTTCAAACATATGAAAGCTCCTGTTAACCCACTCTCCTCTTTTTCTTTTCATCTTTCGGCCATTGTTGTCATATGAAGATTGGAAAAAGCGACTCTATGTTCACCTACACCGGACATGGGCCTCGCCGATTCTTCTTTATTTGTGAGAGTTTGTGCGTGAACGTTGAGAGAGAAGAAAAGAAAAGTCTATTTGCCGCAGTCGTTATTAATGCCCAGAAAAATACTAAGCAGAGGTTATATACAGACACTACCCAAGAAAAATACTAGTGTCTATGTGAGCCATACAATTCCATCATCTTCCGGAGCTTCTTTCTCTACGATCCGGGCAAGCGGGTGAGCGATCGATTAGCTTAGGCGCTCCAATTATTCAAGGAGGCCTAAGTGGCCACACGGGATCCGATCCCAAACAACCGACCCGTGATACTAGCCTACTAGTAGCCTATAGAGTATTTGAACCGGAAGCTCCGCACTTGAGCACGGAACTTGTTCCCAGCTCCATCAAGGTTGTACCCGGGATCTTAGTGCCCATGCTCATTACCACCTCTCACTTTTACAAATCGAAGTCTCTCGACAACAAATATGTAAGTCCCTTTGTATCATTCGACGGCTCCAAGCCCCAATTGTTGGTTCCGTGGCTAAGAACGTTTTTTCGCAATTCATTTGGATTCAGGCTTTTGGGGTGTTTGTTTGTGAAATGTTTCCCTCTTTTTGATTCCGCTGTCGATCAGGCAAAGCTTAATGGGATTGTCAATTGCAAGAGCACTCTGTATCAATTATCATTTTCATATGAACCGAAGCTGGGCTAAGACGTGGGTCTCTACATTTCCTTGTGTACTGCTTCCATTTCAATTGTTGTCGACAATGAAAACATTATTCATTGACTAGTTATTTCAAGCTATACGAACGTCTATTTTTAGGAAAATATTTTCAAAATTATTTATTTTTTCGCAAAATAAATAGAGCCTAATATATATTAAAGCATTGCCTTAGGCCAAGCTTTAAGCTTGAGAGGACTCGGCAGCAACAAGCTTCTCAGTTAGATCCAACCTCAAAGCTTGCGGTTGCCATGGCCAAATCTGGCAGGGTGGTCAGGCAAGGGCTGACATATTCTGTCAGGGCGTAGGCGACGGTCGGTGGAGACCGATTGCCTCAAAAGAGCTTTGGATGAAGATGGTGAGGTCGAAAACAACTTACAATTTATTTTTATTTTTATTTTTATATCTAATGTGGCGCTCACGTGACATCATGTTAGCTTCACGTCGATCCTCTTCAGATTTTTAACGGCGATTTTCAACGAACAAAGGGTAAATATATAAAAAAAATTAGAAAAAATGTATCAATATAATTTGAGATTGGGTTAATACCATGAAAAACCCCAAACTAATATATCTATGACAAATTTATTCCAAATTAATTTTCTGACCATAAAAAACTCCAAATTGGTATACCTGTAACAAATTTACTTTAAACTAATTTTTTGACCACAAAAAATCCCAAACTTTACACTTGTGACAAATTTACCATACATTAAATTAGATTAATATAAAAAAAAATTACAAACTCGTACACCTGTGATAAACGGAGGGTAAAACCTCAAGCTACTACATCTGTGTCATTTAGCTCAATAATTTGACAATAAAATTTAACGGAAATTATCGAAGGGTAAATTTATCACGGATGTATCAATTTGGAGTTTTTGATGATCAAAAAATTAGTTTGGATCAATTTGGAATTTTTGGTGGTATTAATTCTTTCAGATTTTGGGTAATTTGCTCTTTGCCTTCTCATAAACCCTAATCCCGCATAATTTTCCTAATCATATAATCGCCCACATCGCCGTTCCGGGCCCCCACTGATCCAACTTCTTCCTCCTCCTCCTTTCTCCCCCACTTCGCACTTGGGAAGCTCCAAGGACAGCGAAAAATCTTTCAATCCGCGCGCCTCCCGAGCGAATCTCTGCTGCGCTCAATGAGCTCCCGCTTCCGCATCTTCCGACGCGCCTCGCCCGTCGAACGTCGCACGACCGCCTTCTAGCCGGAGATCTCGGGGGAGGTCCCGGGAAATCGATGGCGTCGGAGGCGCTGGGCCGGAAGGTGTGGAGCAGCGCCGGCGGCCTGAGGCGGTTGGAGGGCGTCAGGAGCGGAGGAGATGAGCGTCGCTTCGGCGCTCGCAGTCCGATTCTCTCGCGGCGGCGGGCGAGTGCGGGCGAGGACAGGATGCGCGCAGCTCCTCCGTCGTCGTCTTCTGCTCCGAGAACGAGCTCGCTCGCCGTGCGCTACTCCCTCATCCCAATGGGCGTTGTTTTTTGCGCTTCGGGGGCAAATGCGAATGCGTTAGTGATTTGCGTAATCCTGTTTTGTTTTTCCCCCCTTGCAGCAATCGGGAGAGAGCGCAATTGCGTTTGGATGGACTCGGCATTTGCGGGCCAGAGCAGGAGGCGGTGGCGTGATTGGGAATAACCCGTGGGTACAATTTTGAGAAACTCCGAGCTCAATGGCAACTTTTTGTGGTTCTTTTTGGTCTGTCAATGCTGGGCGCGCTCTTGTGCGTGCTTGAGATAGTGGTTTAATGCAAGTTTCATTTAGTGCTAGCTCAACATGCATTATCGTCCTATTAATTTCCAGCTGATAATTGGTTTCGTCTTCTTGTATGTCAATTCTTATAATACAATTGCCATCATCTTCTTTTTCATGGCATCACCTGTTTGTCAAGCTGCATGCGTGGAGATACATATAGTTACAGCGCATATAAGATGGGAAGAATTTTCGTGTTTGTTGAATGGGTTACTGAGCTAGCACTGTATACATCTGCGGGTGCCCTTTTTTTTTTTGTGTTGTGTGCGGGGTGGGCGGATGAGACAAATGGGGAATTTCTCCGACCTGCTAATTTCCTTATGTGCTTTCTTTTCTATGTGAATCTAGTGCTATTGTGGAGTGCTGGTCTTAATTTGGCTATATCACTTGTGCATGCCTTCTAATATATTTAGTTTCCATGGTCCTGCTTAATAGTGAGTGCCTTCACAGGGTCGGAAGAACATCACTGACAAGGAGTATATGTATAGAACTCATGCAACATCGGGAGGTAATTATTTAGCATCATAATTGTCACGAAAGATTAAATTGCATGTTCTGTTTAGGCTTTCATCGTTAGACTAGAATTCTTAAGGCATATCTGTGGTGTCTATTGCTATCACCTTTTATAGTTGTTTGCTATTCTTTCAAGTATGCTTGACGAACTAAGATATCCTTTTTCCCTTGATTTACATTTCTCCTACGTTAATCCTGGTTCCCTCCTTTATGTCTTGGCTGGGGGGGCCATGGGATGGCTTGTTGGTCTTTTATCTAAATTGTGTGTGCATGGCAATGCTTTGTGGTCGGAGCTATTGTAGAACATTGAAAGATTTTTCCTTTTCCTTTTTTTTGAAGTGCAGCTGATCAATGTTTTGGGCATCAAATTGTTGATGCACTACAATTGGGCGACAGAACCGGAGCTTCCAATCTTCTTTCATATCTTGGCTATGAGAACCAATCACTACAGGCTGATGATGTAGTTCATATCCTTGATTACTGTGCCAGATCATCAGATGCTTCGGTAAGATGAAATTATATGTTGTTGCTACACTAGATGCATATTATTCAGTCTTGCCTAGAAGAATGTTCATCCGTGCCCTGCAGCGTTTATAATGCAGATTAGAGGATCATCCAACAGTGACCGTCATAGAGTTGCTTTTTTGCCTGAAATTGACGAACAACAAACAATTAAACAACACAACAAGAAGCAAGTGATAACCCATTAAGTGGTACTGGCTGCATGAAATCTGCCATTGTGCTTGATGTTTTGTTAAATCCTCTGTGAGATTCTGGATGTTCCATATCTTTTCATATTGTCTCTGTCCACGTCCTTCTAGGTCTTCCCTACTCTTTTAAACAATGTATCCAATCCTTGTCACAGTGCCTCACTAGGGCATCTGAAGGCCTTCAATCAACATCACGAAACCATTCAAGACAGACTTTCTCATCTTTTCCTTAAGTGGAGCAACATCTACCTTTTCTTAAATAGCTTCATTATCAATCTTATCTCTTCTTGTGTGCTTGCTCATCCAAAGAAGCATTCTCATCTCTGCTACACTGGTTTTGTGCACCTGCTGCTGCCCACCCAACACTCCATGCTATAAAGCAAGCATTGCTGGCCTTACTGCTGTCCTATAGGACTTTTCCTTGGGCTTACGTGTCATTTGGTGGTCACACAAAACCCCAAATGGACCACTTCTTCCTGCCTGTACTTTGTGAATGAGATCTCCGTCTTTTTCCTCTTTTTTTTAATAGAATGGATCCAAGATATGAGAAATGTTCACTCCTTAGCACTTTTTAAACTCCAATTTTCACCAGGGGGTTGTTTGAACTTCTGCCATTGCTAAAGTCACACACCATATATTTGTCTTAGTCCGATTGAGTTGAAAACTTTTAGATTCCAAGTTTCCCTCCAAAGTTTGAGTTTCTGGTTAGCCCCGACATGGGTTTCATGGGCCAGCCCTGTGCCATTTTCGAAAAGCATACATCAAGGAACTTCTTGCATATATCTTGTCAGCTTATCAATTGAGGCAAAAAGATCAAGGACTTAAGAGCAAAGCCTTAATGTAACCCTATAGTTATTGGGAATTCTTTTATTTCCCCTCCGTTTGTCCTAATGAATGTGACAGCTCCACATGCTTATCCTTTATTATTAGTATATGGGCAATGCGTGCCCCTTTCATTTTGAAAACTCTCGAAATTTTCCTTGGTACTCTATCATATGCTTTTTCCAAAACTATGAACACCAAATGCAGATCTTTCCATTAATTTTTTTTATACCTTTCCATTAATCTTCGTGATAGGTAAATAGACTCGATAGTTGATCTACCTGGCATGAAACCAAATTGGTTAACTGAAATATGAGTCTCTTGCCTCAACCTGAGCTGGATTACGCTTTCCCAAAGCTTCATGGTATGGCTCGTTGGCTTAACCCCTCTATGATTGGCACAATTCTGGGTGCCACCTTTCTTATTGTAGGTAGGCACCTTAGTATATTTTTCTCCATTCATCTGGCATTTGGTTGGATCTTAAAGAAGATTTCGTTAAAAAGGGTTGTCAGCCAAGATACGCCATCTCTCCCAGAAAACTTTCTCACTTCTATTGGTATACTACAAGGGTCCACGCCTTTTCCTCCTTTCTTTTATATAATGGATCCAAGATATGAGAAATGTTCACTCCTTGGCACTTTTTAAACTCCAATTTTCACCAAGGGTTGTTTGAACTTCTGCCATTAGTAAAGTTACACACCATATATTTTTTCTTAGTCCGATTGAGTTGAAAACTTTTAGAGTGCAAGTTTCCCCCCAAAGTTTGAGTTTCTGGTTAACCCCAACTTGGGTTTCTTATCCCAGCACTGTGCCATCTGCGAAAAGCATAAATCAAGGAACATCTTGCATATATCTTGTCAGATTATTAATCGGGGCAAAAAGATCAAGGACTTAGGTTCTGTTCGTTTTGCGGAAAATATTACGTTTCTGGAAAATGTTTTCCAGGAAGTCATTTACCTGGAAAATGACAATTTTCCGGTGTTAGGCTGAAATTTGAAAAAGTTTCGGAAAACATTTTCCGTTGCTCGGTATGGAAAAAATTTTCTTCCTTGCACTACTTTTAATAATTTTTTATTTTTATTTTTTAAAAATATTTTTAATTTTCTTTTTTCTTTCTTTTTCTTTTTTTTTTCCTTCTTCTTCCTCTTCCTCAGCTGGTCGTTGGCCACAGCGGCGGCCGGCGACTGGCCAGGTTGAGCCTCACTGCCTGTGGCGAGGCTGAGGCTTGCCTAAGAAAAAAATGACTGGTGAAAGAAGGAGGGGGGAAAATGTTTTCCTCTTCTCAAAAAGAGGAAGTCATTTTCCTCAAAGACGAAGGTGTTTTTCCCATGGGGGGGAAAATGTTTTCCGTGGGAAGTTATTTTCCGTGAAACGAACACCAGAAAACATTTTCCCCGAAGTTATTTTCCGTGAAACGAATAGAGCCTTAGAGCAAAGCCTTAATGTAACCCTATAGTTATACGGAATTCTTTTGTTTCCCCTCTGATTGTCCTAACGAATGTGTGACAGTTCCAAGTGCTTATCCTTTATTGTTTGTATATGGGCAATGCATGCCCCATTCATTTTGAAAACTCTCCAAATTTCCCTTGGTATATCATATGCTTTTTCCAAAACTATGAACACCAAATGCAGATCCTTCCACATATTCTTATAGCTTTCCATTAATCTTCGTGATAGGTAAATAGCCTCGATAGTTGATCTACCTGGCATGAAACCAAATTGGTTAACTGAAATATGAGTCTCTTGTCTCAACCTGAGCTGGATTACGCTTTCCTAAAGCTTCATGGTATGACTCACTATGGTTGGCACAATTCTGAATGCCACCTTTCTTATTGTAGATAGGCACCTGAGTATATTTTTCTCTATTCATCCGGCATTTGGTTGGATCTTAAAGAAGATTTCGTCAAAAAGGGTTGTTAGCCAGATACGCTAATCTCTCCCAGAAAACTTTTCACACTTCTATTGGTATACTACAAGGGCCCGCCCCTTTTCCATTCTTCATCTTCTTCAAAGCTCTGAACATTTCGTACTTATGCATTGGTAGAAAGAGTAGTTTCTGCATTCTTCTGAATTGCTCAACTCTCGGTGAAGTTTCCTCTCATATCTTTCATTGAAAAGTTAATGGAAATAATTTCCGCAGCTACCTTTGACAACATCTTTCTAGGAGGACCTTCTGATTTTTGTCCTTGATACATCTCACCTGGTTTAGAACTCTTGTTTTCCTCACTCTTGAGCCAATTTACCTCTCACTTTCTTCTCCTTTGGTGTCTGGCCCTTTATAAAGGTCATACAAGTGGCTAGTTTTGCTTCACATAGGACTTTCTTCTTCTACGTCTTTGCTAATATTTACTTTGCTATGTTTTCCGCACTTTTATCCTTGTACTTGACTTTGTGGCATTTTTTCTTAACCTTAATCTTTTGTCGTATCTCCTTTGTCCACCACCATGACTCCTGGTGTGGTGCACAAGCCCTAGACTCCCCAAGGACCAAGGACCGCTTTTGCCACTCTCCGTATGCAACTAGCCCAAGATTCCAAATTTGATTTTAACCCGTCTGTCCTCCCATGTACACTAGCCAATAAGGGTGTGCATGAGAACCATTCTATTTCTTGCCAAATCTACTTTTCTTGTTCTCGAGAATAAGTTTGGAATAGAAATCTATTTGGTAATGCAATTTTATTTTTCTATTTCCGCAACAAATTTTTAGTCCAAAAATAGGTTTGGAATAGAAATGAGAAGTAAAAATATTCTACTTTTCTATTTCTGGAGCAAAAAGATAAATAAAAACTCTCATCATCGATTGCTCTTGCCTCTCGCTGCATGTGGCTATCGCCACCCTCGCCGGCCGCCCCCACCCCCCGCTGGCCGCCCATCAATGAGCGTGTAAGAGAGAATTTTAAGAAGGCCTATCAAACGAATTTCTGTTCCGGGAAGAGAAATTTTGTATTGTTATCAAACGCATATTTTTGTTCAGAAACTCGTTCAGGGAATAGAAATAGAAAAATCTATTTTGGGCTAGAAATCTATTCCAGGAATAGAATGGTTATCATTCACACCCTAACTCTTCTTTGAACAAGGATTGTTGTCTTTATAGATTCCACCATCTGATTCTAGGACACTTTGTGCACGAATGATAGCCATCCTCTTCCCCGGCCCTATTTTTTGCTAGAAATAGAAAAATCTATTTCTATTCCCTAGACGAGTTTTTGAACAAAAAGTAGCGTTTGATAACGACATAAAATTTATGTTCCCGGTGGCTGGTCGGTTGACGGGCGGCGGGCAGGGGCGGACGGTCGGCGGGCAGGCGATGGCGAGCGACGAGGGCGAGCAATAAAGAGAGTTGTTATTTCTGTTTGTGTTTCAAAAATAGAAAAGTTAAAAAAACCCCCTTATCATTTTTGTTGCAAACCTATTTCTAGGCTCAAATTTTGTCCTGGAAATAAAAAAATGAAATTGCATTGTCAAACGGATTTCTATTCCAAACCTGTTCCCAGAAACAGAAAAATAGAAAAATAGAGAAACAAAATGGTTATCATTCGCGCCCTTCACTGGCTTGTTTCTCTGGCTTCTCCTTTTAACGTGACATCAAGCACCATTAGTAGATGTTGGATAGTTAAGCTTTCTCCGGGCACAACTTTGCAATCTTTATAACTTATTTGAACATTTTTCCTTATCAAATAGTAATCTATTTGCAATCTTGAGGATCCACTCTTCTAAGTGCTTGCATACTCCTCCAGCTTCTTGAAGAAGGTATTGGCTAATATAAGATTAGGAGCCATTGCAAAGTCACAAATGGCCTTCCCCTGCTCCTTTGCCTCTCTAAAGCCATAACCTTCTCGAAAGCTTTTGTAAACTTCCGTATCTTTACCCATATGCCCATTTAATCTCCTGTAAAAATCTTCTACGAATGGGGATCTCTTGAACTAGTTCCCTAAGGTCTACCCAAAAGTGCTTCTCAAGGAACCAACTTGAGGTGCATCAAAACTAATTACAAGTTCTCCTGGCTTGCCACGATTTTGATAGCAATGATCCTATCCCATTCTTTTAACATCTACTGCGTCTTCCTTCAAGGTGTTATCGATGATGATTCTGACTCCGTTTCTAAGTGCCTGCATACCAAAGCTTGAAATCCGAGTTCTCAAAGATCCTTTGCCTGTGAACCAACCCACTTAGTCTCTTGAAGGCACGTGATGCTGATCCTCCACTTAACCATTACATCTACCACTTCCATCAATTTACACTTTAAAGTCCCAATGTTCCAAGTCCCCATCTGGATCCTTCCCTCTTGGACTAACTTCTTTACCCTCATTCCTCCGACAAGATGAGGGAACACTTGCTTATTTGACACTGCATCCCAGCACCTATGTTGTGGTCTTTGCTCACTTCTCACTGTGCTCAGGCCAAGCAGCGTCACTTCCGGCGACGACCTAGCTTTTGCGCCATTTCGTATAGGATTCATTCATAAAAGTTCGACATCAAAAAGAGTGCTGGATGTTGGCTACCTGACCGACCCTTTTCCCTACCTTATCCATGCGGTCGATCGGGTTGTAGAACTCTAAAACTTGCATGCTCTTTGAAAATAACTTAAGAATAATTGCCTTCCTTCACTCTTTGTACAGATGGGCATGTATACTGTTATGTGCTGATATTGCTTATTCATTTACATGGCATACACAAGATGAAATTTTATTATGTTCATTTGTTGAGGGTTTTGCTTAATTGTGGTAAATTTCTTTGGACTTTCATTGTCCTAAGAAGCCATTTATCTCATGAGCAAAAATCCCATGCATATACTCGCGCTGAAAATATTGGAAGTCTAGGAAGATACTAAGTACTTTTTTCCTTTAGCTTTTGGGTCGGAGCGGAACCCACCAAATGGACTATGGGAGAGGACAGCATTCAATTTGCTTATCGGCGTTCAGTGTAGTAGATTTTAAACTCTTGTTGATTATGTATAAGTTGCCTCAGTTATGAAGATAGCAGAGAGATGGGCAATCAGTTCTTTTGCTCCCTTAGAGCATGCACGCGATAGGATACACTATGCCATTGTGTATCATTGGTCCAATGTCTCATCTCTGTATGAAGTTTCCAACTTAAACTGAAAAGAAATTTGTTTAATCCAAATATAGCCCCAGAAACTGATCATAACATTAGGATAGCCTTCCTTACTTAGATCTTATGAATTTCAATCTGTTAAAGTAGGCTACTTCTGGCATTTTGAAATGGAAAAGATCATGGATTTTGTGAGCAGAATTGATTTTTGCTACTTTATTATATGTATATATTGAACAAATTAAATATCTTATAAGAAAAGATACTACAGATGCAGGTTTTGGTGTTTACTCACAAACATATTATTAATTTCATTATCCCATTCGATGATATGCAACATAGACTTCATATTTCCTCTTTCAGTTGATGCTAGGCGTGATCTATTGTCATGTCAATGTAGTGATCCCTTGCTGGGACTGTATTTGGATCTCATTCAAGCAAGCCTTTAGGTAGTTAAGCTGATGTGGCGTTTGATGTGTATGCAGTTTGCCATGGAAACTTGGAAATTGATTAATGAGAAGAAGATCAGCATAGGTGAAAGATGCCACATTCTTACTTTGCAGGCACTTTGTAAAGCTGGTTGCTTGGCAGTGGTATATGATCTTTTTCTGTGTGCTCTGGATAAAAGTCATGAGAATTCCTTTCACAAATGATCCATAGTGGATAATTAGCTTGTTGCTCATTAAGGAAGTTAAACATGGTAACTGAAGTTTCTTCTCTTCTATTTTTGAAGTTTGTTAATATACACTCATTCTACAGGTCATTTAGTATTGACAATAAAATGGTTTTGATAACCTTGAGTATCATCTATAATATGTATGCTCGCAGAATATTTATTTTAAGACTTATCTTTTGGATTTCTGCCAATAACGAATTAGTCAATAAGAAGCTGAGAATATATTAGTTGTGCCACGCAATTACTCCAATATGAACCATTTATTCTGTACTTAATTTCTTTGAAGTGTTGAAAATGAACATGGCAACACATTCAAATACAGATTATCAATAATTTTTTTGACTGCATATCGCGTTGCGATCTAGTAGATAGATATTTAGGTTAAAGCTCTATACTCATTATTACTGTAACTGATTGTCCAACATATTAGTATCAATGGCACCAACTTCTATGTCGCATATTGTCTCTCACCATTGCACATCACCAGATTGATGTGAGGATTCAGCAGGCATTATTGTCTACAGTGAACATTCAAAGTTGCTAAACATTCTGGGAATGATTGTCCCAATGTTAACTGCTTTCTTTGATTTGTTCTAGTTTGATACCTACCAAGGGAAAAAGGACAACCGAGAACTTGAATCATTCTACATTAACCATATGCTGGAAAGGAATTGACAGAACCTAGTCTTCAGCATCTTTACACCTTTTAGATATTTATCGTTGCTTGCAGCTAAGGAGGTGGAAGATGTAGAACACAGAACTAATAGGAAGGTTGGGGAAGAGAGATCTATTGGATTAAATTTGGATTGAAGGATATTGTGATATTCTCTTTTTCCTTCAATTGTGTAAACTTGCAGTTCAGAAAAATATTCATGGACATTTTGGATCAAAGGATATTGTGATATTTTCTTTTTCCTTCAATCGCGTAAACTTGCAGTTCAGAAATATATTCATGGATATTAGTTATAGTTAGTAGTTGGTCATAAATAAGGGAATCAGGGTTTTGTTAGTGTCTCTCAGTCTCTATAAATAGAACCATCTTATGTACTCTTTCATTAAGTTGTTGAATAGACATGTAGTCTCTATTGATTCTCTCTCTCTCTCTCTCTCTTGAAGATCCTAAAATATTGACATGGTGTTAGAGCTACCAAGAGAGAGGGACCAAAATCAAAGCCCTAGAATGCCAAAACGCAGCTGTTTTTCTCTTGTCGTTTAGTCACACAAAAAGGTTTTTTTCGTCTTCTCTATTAGGCCACCAAGCCAGGCAACCATGGTCTTCTCTGTTGCAAGCTCTGCTCAGTCCCACGCTGTTAGTGTTCTGAGCTGGTTGTCAATTACATAAAAATCTTCTTGTCTGTGAAGGATTCGAGCTTCATCCCTTGCTGTCTCCTCTGTTCATCAACTTCTCTAGTCATCAGGGGGAGCTTGTCGCCAGCCCAGGTTGTCCAGATTTGGAGAGTCATGCATCCTCCTTCCTCTTTCAGTCACGAGTTCTTGGCATTGTGGGTGTGTCCACTTCTCTCTCGCCGGCCATTATTATTGGGCATGTCCGTCAGCTTTCCAGTTTGTTGTTGAAAGCTGTCCTCCTGGTGTCCTTGCGAGCTCATTCTCCACCTTTGTCACTGGCTAGCACACCTAGTCTGTTTTTAGTGTTCGTTACTGTCAAGGGTCTGTCATCCTACTCGAGCCCATTCCATGCCTCATCATTTGTCGTCCTTGGTCCTTTCCAGCATAGTCATCAGTTTTGCTCCTCCATAAAAGTGAAGCTCTCTGGTCTTGTGGGTTTGCTGGTTTGGTTTTAGGTTTGTGTCAATAGAAATTTGTCTTCAGCAACATCTCCCAATTTTGGTCATTTGCCTCGACAACCTCTACTGTGAATGTCACCTATTGTGAGCGTCATCAATGAGCAAAGTTGCCATCAAGTTTCCAAGGCAACTGAGTGCCAGAGCAAAGCACACCTTTGTTGGGCAGCCACAGTCGAGTGCCGTGGGGTGATGAATCCATGAAGTTAGGCTCTCACACGATTGGGTCTTCATTGTTTGAGGGAGAGAAAAGTGTCAACTTTCTGGTCTCCATTTGTCTCTTTAGCGTGCTTCTGCCAAATTCGACAATGTGGGTTACTTTCAATTTGTCGTGTAATGTTCAGCTTATACAATAATCTTTGTGTTAAATGTGGTTTGATGTATCCAAATCCGTAATCTAGTGCAAGGTCCAGCTTACACAGTGCTTTAGTCACAGGCTATGGAATGAAGTTGCACCTGTCATAAGTTAGCTGGATGCTCTAGCTTGAGGGGAAGTGTTGAATTATAAGTAGGGATATTAGTTAATAGTTAGTAGGTGGTAATAAATAAGAAATTAGGGTTTTGTTAGTGTCTCCCATGCTCTATAAATAGAGCCATCTAATGCACTCTTTTATCAATCTATTGATTGAAGATGTAGTCTTTATTGATTCTGCCTCCCCCTCTCTCTTGCAGACCCTATAATATTCACATTAGCAAATCTATGGCCAAGCTCTTTGTGACCATTGCTGGGGTTGACTTTGTATTTGGACTGAAGCTCAGCTATTGATTAATAGAACTTTGAAAAATAAGATTCTAAGCTGACAAAGGTGTAGTAAGTAGGAACTGTTAGGACAAGTAGAATTGCCAGGCTTTTTCACACAAATTTGTCAATTACTCTGACGTGTAAGACATTGATAACTTATGTGGATGGATTAACATTTCTTCCTGATAAAGTTGGCAGAAAATATGTTATTTGCTGCAGAAATCATATTGACCGTATCTTAAAAAGCTGAAAAACTACAATTCACTGGTACAGCTAAATTTTGGAGGAGACTTAAATCTGGTTCTCTGTTGATAAAGAATTCTGACATTTTGGACTAGAATTTAAGACCTTCAAAGGTTTAGAATCTTGATATTGAAAATAAACTAGTTTCCCTAGGTTGAGGTTTATATTCTCATTTTTCCTGGTGAGTGATAGTCATGTTATGGTTGTAGTTTGTAATACTATCATATTTATTTTATTTGGTATGGGTACTCATTCATATCGGAGCGCTAACCTGATTCATTTTTCACATTATTCAGGGACTTAATTTACTATCTAATCTCGGAGAAAATCATCATGTGACTCATTTCTTGGATGCGTATAATTATTTCCTAAGGGCCTGTGTTGTTGTGCAAAGTGAACTATATGCTGATTGCTTAGATCTGATGGAGCACCGGCTTGTGGGGAAGAATGAAGCAACTTATTTGGAACTCCTTGAGGTATGATGCTGAAGATGATTTTTTTTTTCCATGGCTAGTGTTTAATCTTCATTGTACTTTCGCTTTTCTGAAGAGTGAAATGGATTTTTCGCACCTTGCATGTCATGCCTATTTCCCCCTTATTGTCTTATGTAAGAAAGTTCCACCCAAAAGCTTAAGCTAATAAGTAGAGGGAGACCACATGAATTATAGAGCATTTAAGATCCGTTGTCAAGCGATGTGGGATAATACTTCGACAGCCTCTCTCACGTGCAAGTCGGATTATGGGCGGCACGTGGAATTTTGATTACCCACATTCATGTGGAATTTTGACATACACATTCCTGAAAGGGATAGCATTTGCTCTGATACTATGTTAGAAAGTCCAATCCAAAAGTCTAAGCTAATAGGTGGAGGGAGACCACATGAATATAAAGAGCATTTAGGACCCACTGTGAAATGATGTGGAACAATACTTCGACATCTTCTCTCCCATTGCAAATGCAGGAAAGTACCAAATAGAAGTATTCTTATTCCGAAAATGTGTGTGTTTGAGAGGGGGGGAATTGAGCATGGAGTCATGGGCCATTTAAGGACCTATGCTTTGAAGAGAATCCTAAATTGATGCCATTCTAAGAATTAAACTCTAGTTCCAGTTCCAAACCATGCCACTTTTACTACTTTTCTCCAAGTATAAGTTCATGTCATACGTGTCCTTCGCTCATAAAAATTTCCCGACGTGTTTTAGTGTGAGTAGTCCTTTCTTTTATGGCTCCTTGTCAATGCTCTCGGTATGCTCTTCCCCAATTATTTGGGGCAATTGATCTATTTTTGTAAGTAAAAAGGTTGTGGTAAAACGTTCTCACCATTTTGTCTTTAGATTCATCATGTGCTTATAAAGGTACCTTGCAAAAAATCCGAAGTCCAAGAATAAGATTGTTTGACATATAGTGCATTTTAACATATTGAGGATTGCTTCTGTTGATCCTTTTTTGCTCTTATAGTGTAGATTCTTTCATTTTTTTGCACGCACATGCTTGTGCATCTCTCAATTATTCTCTTAGTCAAGGTGGATTGCTTCTGTTGATCCTTTTTTGCTCTTATAGTGTAGATTCTTTCATTTTTTTGCACGCACATGCTTGTGCATCTCTCAATTATTCTCTTAGTCAAGGTGGCAGTAGTTTGGATATTTTTACATGAGAGATGTGTTGCATACTTTAAACTTTTGACTAATTTCCTAAGAACAACCAACCAATTCAAATGTTACTGGAGGGATGTGTAGGTTAACATACTTCAAAGTTTCTGATGAACTCATGTTGGGCAACTAATTTTGTTGAGTGATAGAGGACGATTGTGGAAATGTTAATCAGAAAAACAATCTGATAAGGCACAATTGACGAGCTAAAGAATTAAGCAGGGGCAGGGGGACCTTTGCCCCACCAAGTTTTCTAAATAATTGTCTGATAGGAAAAAAAAAGTCAAGAGTGACCTGTCAAGGCATTTTAGATTTTGTGAATGTCTGGCTCCTCCAATATCAGTTGAGCCATTTCTTCGAATGAGAACATCGTTAATGTTGTCCAAGGACAAGTGACCTTGAACATATTCCGTATTTTCTTGATACTTGATTCATAGATTCTCCAATATGGCTGATTTATATTTACTTATCCACTACAATGTACACAGATATGACCCTCTTTTATTTTGTTAAAAGACTCAAGATTATATTGAACAGCATAGATACTTTGTAATTTGATTTGTTTTATTGTACTAAATTGAATCGTTATAGTGACCTCCTATACCACCTGTCCAAATGCCCGGTGTACGTAAACTTTCACAAATATTAATCATAAAGAAAATATTCCTTTTTAATTAAGACGGGAAGACTGCGGAATGAATCTGATGCCCGAAGGCATTTCCATAACCTTTTAGAGGAAACGAAAATTTACATTTCTTATACCATCCTAGAAGCACAAATCACATACCGTTTTTCTTTTGTAATGTTGTAACAATGCGGAATGAATCTTGAACCATAGACCAAGTTCAAGTATTAGAAATGTGGATTCCTGCGCTCTTGAATTTATGAACCGCTCCATGTGGCTGTTAGATTTTGAAGCATTTTTCACCTTGCCAAAACAAAAGTTGGAGTTTTTCTCACTGTCTAGGCATTCACTTGTTTTATCCGTTTCTTGCAATCATTTGCAATCGGCGGCTTTATTTTATTGATAAGCTTCATTGACAATTGAAAAGATTCCTTTTGTTCACAGTTTTCTGTGCACATGCTAAATGTCTGCATTGACTAGAATTCATTATGTGGATTGAGGTTAAGTTAAACAAAATGCTGTTGTTTCTAATGGTTGTCTCCTCCTCTCAGATTGCTGTGTGGAAGCAAAATCTTTTTGCAGTGCATCATATTTGGAAGGACTATAGCAAGCACTACAATTTGGGCCTTACATCATTAAGAAAGTTTATTTGGTCTTTTACAAGGTTGAGAGATCTAAAATCTGCATATGAAAGTCTGCAACTTATGGTGGCTTTGGCTACTGGAGGTACTTTATCTATTAGATATGCAGAGAGAGGTTTGCATCCTCCAAAGCTAGATATTCCAATACCTTCCATGAGTGAACTACAGTTGGCGAGATTTGACACGGAAGAAACTGAACATATCTGTGACAAAGAGGATGGTCTTGCCCGTAACCTGGGGCTATGCACTACTTATGGTCCTAGAAACGAAGTCATGTGTGTTGGAATCGACACACCAAATCCTAAATATCTTGCGCTTAAGAATGTGCTGAGCCGATCATTCACAGACGTGATATGTACTTGTGCACTAACAAGCAACAATAGCTTGGCAGAGCAGTTATTTCAACAGGTACTAGGACCTACCTAGTGACATCTCCTCTTTTTACTGTGTATAAAAGCTGATAGAAGTTGCTGATAATAGAGTTGTTACTTTGAATGCTCTGTTTAGATGATGAGTCACTTGGAAGTGTCGACATAAGAACTTTATCCATCAACAAAATCTCCAAATGTAATGGAGCTCTTTTTGTTGAGTAGCGTGTGAATTTAGTTATATGATTTTCTATCCTGCTTAATTATTTTTGTTGTGGCAGAATCTGATACCTTGGATTAGGCCCTCCATTGTGCTTGAGCGTCTAGTTTTGTGAATTTTTTACTTTATGTAGTATTTTATTCTGTGTAAATGATGGTAAAAGGTACTGAGAGAAGGTTCCTGTATGTCTAGATGCAAAACCTAGGGTTGCAACCATCCAGTCGTACATACGATGGATTTATCAGAGCAATTGTTACTGAGAGAGGTTTCTCTGATGGTTTGGAGCTGGTGAGTATCATTCATTTTGCCAGCTTGCTCTTGGCACTCCATTTGCATTGCCTTCATCCAGTTACTTTTAATTCTTTTATCAAAATGTTCTTGGAAATAAAACTTTTGGTCCTTGCAGTTGAAAATAATGCAAAAGCAGAAACTGAAGCCATTTGATTCTACCCTAGCAACCATTTCAGTGAAGTGCAGTGAAGCCTTGGAACTGGATTTTGCTGAGGATCTATTGGTTCAAATTTCTGAATGTCCGCATCCCTATCCTTTTAATGTTTTCCTTGCAGCTTGTAATGCAATGGTGAGTAGGTATCTTCACATATTCTGCTATATGGCTGTTTATTAGGAGATTTTTTGTGATGATTTACACTGTTTGTTCTTTGTTTTTTACTGGGAAGGGTTCCCGACCTGGCCTTAGCTTAAGATTACAACTTGGATGGGAATGTATAGTGGCTAATGGGGTTGGACCTTGAATATCTTATTTTTTTAGTAAGCTGAGGAGAGTAAGAAGATATTCACAATCTTACGAAAGGAAGATGACGAGTCACCATCTACTTTGTACAGGATTGGTTAGCACTTCTTATTTATGGTATACTGAACAGTTCATCTTCAATGACACACACGTTCTATTAGATTTGGAAGATATATAACAAGATATTATTACTAATAGTTCTATCAATCAGTTCAGAAATGCTTGGGAAGAGAGTACTTGCTAGTTCCCAAGTTCCACCAATCACCTTAATAAATCATCTAGCAGTATGAAATTAGAGGTTACTGTTACGTCACCAGCAATTCCACTTATTATGGATTCTCAGGCTTATTTGACAGATATGAGATATTGAGATTTCAGTGCCCACAACTTGCTGTGGTTTTGATGCCTTTTATGGCATACATAGACCATGAAGACGATTCCAAGTGTTGATAAGTACTGTGAGATGTAAAAAAAGATTTCTGGGTTAAAAAAGGTGCTTCTTATGTGGGATGCTCATTTTCAATTAGAAGTGACAAATTGCTTTTCTCTGCACATTAGTGTCACAGTTTGAATGTATTAGAAGAGAAACTAATAACTGTGAGATCAGTAACGCACCCAGGATTTTAGGTTGGTGGGGGCAAGCAAAATATCTTACCTGAAGTTTCAAGGGTTTAATAATATTTTGGCGGCCAGCAAGCAGGGGCCACTAACAGTCCCATGATGTCTGCTAATGTTTTGAAGTTATTATTGAGGACGACCTTTGAAAGTTTGGAGGATGTTTGGTTTTTTCTTTTTTCAGATAGTTGTTTTTTCACTATCCTCTAATTTCACTTGCACATTATTTCCCTCTACAGCATGAAAGACCTATGGTTTGCATCATGCAGGATCAACCTGAGCGTGCAGTTCATGTATTGGCAAGAATGAAACAAATACAACTTAAACCAAATATCCAGACGTATGAGCTGCTGTTTTCCTTATTCGGTACTGTGAATGCTCCGTATGAAGAGGGAAATATGTTGTCACAGGTAGAAGCTGCAAAAAGGATAGAAGCTATAGAAATGGATATGGCCAAAAATGGTGTTGAGCATAGCCTTATCTCATTAAAAAATCTGGTATTTGTCTTACCATATAGCAATCATTTATATCGGCACAGTGAATGACAACTTAACCTGAGTATTGTTGGAAGCATACTAGTATTTTCAAAAACTATCCAGAGGTTGTACTTGGATTAATACTATTGTGTAAGAAATCTCTCTTTGCATCATGCAAGATGTAACAAGCGTGTGAAAGCATGGGATTGGGATCCTTAGGCTCTTAGAGAGGTGACGTCTTTCATTTCATATCATGCTTGGCCTTAACTGCCTATACATTTGATTTCTTCACTTATTGGCAAGGAAAAATCTCATTCAACTTTAGACGTTATTGTCAAATCAAGGGTTTGGGGCAGGTCCGCTTCTAATGCTATCTCTAGAAGCACCTGCTGTTTAGTTTGTAATCCTGTTTTCATGCGCTTCTCTATGCTCTGTGGGCTTAATTATTAGCATGTTTTTTTTTTGTTGAGTCAGTGCACACCGTTTTGAGCTATATAAGCCCTATGAGATTAGGCTTATCTACTAGAGATAATGAACAATGTAAATGTATACATGCTGTATTGCTTCTCTTGAGTGACCATGGATACACATTGTGGTTGTTAAATCTGAAATGTTACCCCTTGATCAAACCAGTTTTCTTGACAATCACTGCTGTGAGGCTTCAACATGGGTCTCATGCAGGTCAGAAATGCTGCCTTTAGTTGAGAAATTTTTTGTATTGAGAGTAGACTACATGCAATAAATTACACTTTAGGATAACTTTTATTATTTGCTTATGTATGCATTTAGTACTGCTCCTCACTCAGATTGAATCCCTGTAGATGCAGTTAGGACATTGGACAATCTTTTGAAACTCAGTTATATGAGGATGATTCTCTCTGTTAAATGATTTTTAATTTTTCCACTTGCTATATCCTAAGCATTCGCGCTAGAAACTCGCTCTTTTCTTTTCACATGTTTGCAATGGCATTAATTTGTTTCTGATTATCTTCAGCTGGCAGCTCTAGGACAAGAGGGAATGATAGAAAAGATGCTACGTGTGGTAGAAAGCCGTTTTGTTTGCAGTGGGACTTCTGTGGAAGCACCATTATACAACGTAGTGTTGCACTCCTTGGTTGCGGCTAAAGAAGTAAGTGCTAATTTTTCTGCTATGATCATTGTGGTATGTTGTCCCATCGAACTGGGGTCTTTTCGACTTTTCCCTAGGTCCTAATGATCTTTCTGTCCATGATGTAGAGCCGCAAAGCAGTGGACATATTTAAGGATATGAAGCAGCGTGGTTTTTCACCGGATCCTGCGACGTACTGTATAATGATTGATTGTTGTAGCATTATACAATGTTACAGATCTGCTTGTGCACTTGTTTCCATGATGATTCGTGATGGATTTTACCCCGGAACAATTACTTACACAGCCCTTATAAAGGTGAACTCTAAATGATCTCAACTTTCACAGTTCTTTTCCTGCCAGAGTTCTGCCTCAGCCACCCCCTCCTCCCTTTGTTCCCCCTAAACATCTAGTTTCTGGCTTTGGCAATGGTATGCTCACTAGGTACTTTCTTTCAGGTTTTGCTGGTCTCTGAAAACTACGATGAAGCTTTAAATCTTCTTGATCAAGCCAAAGCAGAAAGGATTCAATTTGATCTCCTATTATTCAACACTTTTCTTCTGAAAGCTTGTGAAATGGTGTAGCATCTTTATCTCCTTTTCTATTTCTTTCCCTTTGCATGTGCATCTGTCTGTGAATTAGAAAGGAGAAAATTGCTGTGAGAATATGGCAGTCATAGCCTCTCTTCTCCTCTCATCTAGAGGCACTCATGCTTTTTGAAGACAAGCTTGGAAATGATGTCTGGTCATTAAGTAATCAAGCCTTTTGTTTGCTTTATGTATTCACATCTGTAGGTTGTTTTGTAACTGCATGTCACTATTGGTAAGAAATCTCTTGTTGCAGATGTTCTGCTTATGTAATCACATCTAGTAGACTCATAATGATGCTTCTTTGCCTTGTGCAGTAATGTTCATAATTGAATCACTGATTTGATTGAGGGTACTCTTGAGAATTTTAAGCTTCAAAAGCTTTTGTGTTAGTACTGGAATAAATTGAGCTTATCCATCCTTTTGCATTGGGCTTGGAAGGTAGTGAGTTTCCTGCACTTTGGTGCATTTATAATTTTCATTCCAAGTTTTTGGTCCCATCTGGAAATGGCAGGTCAAACTTGGATGTGCTTATGCCCAAACTGCCTCTAATACTTGCCAGGTTGTCATGGGACAGGACTAGTTTTGGAGAACTTAGGGAGAAGAGTTTCAAGATGTTTTGTGAAGGATTGGCTGAATGGTTATGCTTTTAGTTTGGATTCAAGGTGATTTGTTCCAAGGTGGGTCGATTTCAAAATAGGAACTTTAAATGGCAATGTAGGTTTAGGTTCTAAAAAGTCTGGAGCGGGAACCGAACTGGTTAGGCTTGGATCCGAAGCGGCCAGTTCGCAGGTCTACCTGTAAACCTAATTGGATTTAGTTCTTGGGTCGTTGAAAGCATGAAAATGACCTGGGAACCTTGATTTCTTTAAAGAATGGAAAGTTCAGGCAATCAATTTTGATATCAAGTCTACCATTACTGTCATCAACACATTCTAGAGGGGACACAGAAAAATTCCTGAAGAGGGAGACGGAGAAAACTGGTAAGCCAAAGTGGGGAGAGAGAGAGAGATGGACTGTCGTAGACGTATTGGTTGATCTTGAGGCAACGAGAGATATATAAGGTTGGTTCGTGATCTTTGCTTGCTCATTGCGGCAAGTTTGTGAAGAGAGAGAGAGAGAGAGAGAGAGAGAGAGAGAGAGAGAGAGAGAGAGAGAGAGAGAGAGATAAGGTTGGTTCGTGATCTTTGCTTGCTCATTGCTGCAAGTTTGTGAAGAGAGAGAGAGAGAGAGTAAAGGCGTGCGCAGGACCAGAAAAGTTGTTTAGGGGTTATTTTAATTTTCTACCAAGAAGCATTAGATTGTCAGTATATGAATTTTTTGTTTCCCTAAATTTTAAAACTCGAGAAGTTGCTACTCCGACTGTAGAGAGAGAGAGAGAGAGAGAGAGAGAGAGAGAGTAAAGGCGTGCACAGGACCAGAAAAGTTGTTTTAAGGGTTATTTTAATTTTCTACCAGGAAGCATTAGATTGTCAGTATATGAATTTTTTGTTTCCCTAAATTTTAAAACTTGAGGAGTTGCTACTCCGACTGTTTTGTGTGTACTCTCCCGGATTTTGGTCGCGGATTTGATTCTGCATGCGTGTAAGACTCTCTCCTTTTTCTGTGGACCGATTTAATCTTGGAACAGGCCTACTTTTCTGGTTTGCCGTGGTTTTATGGGAGGAACCGAGAGCCAAACCAGTCTAAGCCGGTTTCTTTTATATCCTAAATCTATTGATAGAACCGGCCTGGGACTCGACCAAGAAAGATTGCTGGGTTGAAGTGGATCCGGTTCTCCCCTTAGCTTAGATACAACAGATTCTATTTTCAAATCAGGTCTCCCAAAGTAACTTTGGGGGCACACCCGTCATCCTACGGGTGGAGCTTTATACAATACACATGGACGGAGTGGTTTGCACGCATCTCGAGGGATTAGTTGAGCTGAACGATTATGATATTCCATGTTATATAAAAACAACAAAAAACCTTCCTATATCTTGGTCCAATTTGATTCTATTGGAATTCCGGGATGTTGGGAGCACAAGTTGAGGGCCATAGTTCATTCTGAAGGAAGAACTTTCAATTCAAAAAAAGTTTGGCTCCTTTGGGGTTAAATGCTTGATCTTGTGATTTTTGGAGCTTGAAGATTTGCACATTGGAGAAAGAAGGTGGAGAGGAAAAACCTAGACTTGGAAGTATTGTCAGAGATGGCTCTGGTATGACCTAAGATGGATTAGAAGCCGAAAAGTTTGTCTACAGATTGAGTGGTAAAATGTTCTCCTTACAATATAACCAAAAGAAATGTCGACGGCAACTTGCTGAAGCACTGGGGATATTATAGGATATAGGTGTTTCTTCGCCAAGTATGTGGTGCCTAGTGGGTAATCTTCATGATGTTTATTGCAAAATTTAATAGCACAAGTTAACTGCAGGAGTGCTGCTTTGCTTCTTTCTTTGAGATTAGTTGTGTCTGTATAGATGTTGATGTCGTTATACAGAAAGTTGAGATCCTGGCTTATAAGCCACTGAGGAAGTCAAATGTGCATTCCTTGGTCGTATTGGGGTTTGTTTTTTCCTGAGCACATTTTATTTGAAGCTCTCTGCTTCTCTACTAATACAAATTACTAAGTGGTCTCTTCTATTGCAGGGCAGACTTGACGTACTTGAGCATATTGTTGAGCTAATCCATCAAGAGAATTTTCAGCCTAACCCGTCATCCTGCTGCTATGTCTACACTGCATATGTGAACAATGGATTTTACAGCACAGCCATCGAGGCATTGCGAGTATTGAGCATGCGAATGATTTGTCAAGCGGATAACCCTCCTCAAGAAATGATGGCTGAATACGAGGATTTTATCTTCAGCGAAGACCCAGATGCTGAGTCTTATTTAACTGGCTTCTTTGAAAATAATCAGGATGATCTTGCCTTCGCCTTGTTGAACTTGAGATGGTGTGCCATTGAAGGGATGCCAATTGATTGGTTGCCTGAGCAAAGCCCCTGGGCTCAAAGGCTTGCGAGATGTACACAAGAATGATATAAATTGCTGCTCAGCTTCATGAGTTCTCAAATTTGTCGTCGGTGGTATGACTACTCCGGCAGAAGGTGGGAGCCTTCTAATGAATCACCCTGGTACTTCAGCAAATTTTCTTGGTTCTCTTATTTGTTTTCAAGCTGCTTGCCATACAAATGATTCGTCCTGGTACTTAAGCACTGTTTGCAACCGACTGTTGCACCTTCCCTGGATGGATTAGGGCTCTGAATTGGTTACTATCATGTCGGCATGGGTTTGAAAATTGGATATAATGGAAATGAAGTTGGAGAGGAGCATCTTGAAATCACAAGGGAAAGTTTTCCTGTAGTTGAAGATTTGTATCATCTCGGCGATGTGAGGGACTTGTTCGGGACTCTCCACAAATTCCTACAGATCTTTTTCCAAGGCCAGAGAGGATTTTGTAAATTGTGCCATCATTTATATTTCTTCTTTTGGTTGCCTAAGTTCCATGCAACATTGCATGAAACTTGAGGGTTTTGCACCCCGTGGCAATAATTGTATCAGGTTCAACGTTTGATCGATGAAGGCTGTGTTAGAAGGGAACTTCTCATCATTTTTTCCAATGAACGAATACCATACATCCAGTTCCGCTGGTCAATATTCTTCACTATCTGCTGTGCAGATAACCCCGAAGGTAAAAGTTTGCAGCGATTGGTCAGTCCTATCTTCTCAAGGAATCGGACAATGTTCTTCTGCCCAAGATTCGAGCGAAATGGTGGCTGCGGCATCTGGCTGCACGTGAAATGCCAATTCAAGATATTATCATGCAGTCCTGTGGAATTTGAGTTGTTTGGCCTATGGTGATGGACAAAAGAGAGGTGGTGGTTTTGTGAAGGTGGTGAATGCTCTTCACCGCACCTTTCCCCCTTGTTGCCATCGAAAGGTGGCATTTTTCGGGTCGCCTCTGAGTGGGGAGATTGAGTGTTGTGTGCGACTAATAATCTCTGTACAAAACTGCGATGCATACTTTGCTTAGCATGGGGCGGCACGCGGGACATCTGTAGTCATATCGCGCCCGAATGAGTAGGAACACGAGGAAGGCGTCATCGGTAGCAAACTAGACTGTTTTTATCTTCGTTTGTGTTCCTTAATATACACGACACTTATACGATGGAGATTGTCGTTGTCCTTGATCAGAATGCGGACAAGATCAATTGAAAACGCTCGAAACGGATCCTTAAATTAGTGCGTCTCTCAGCTCCCAGTAATGCGAGATTTGTTATGTACATCATCAGTTTCTCTAACAGAGAGAGAGATAAAGTTGTTTATTCGACGAGTCCGTTAAACATGCGTTTCTAAAAAATCATCACTTACTGACAAGCCATTCGGCCGGAATGGAACAGTCCAATCGCCTGGTTTCAGGGGCTGGGTCTCAGGTGTCGACTTCGAGAACTATATACGCAAAAATGGGTTATAGAGCCATGTGCCGAGTAGTTATATTTAGTAAATGTGTCTTAAATTAATTTAAACATGATATGGGTGTTAAATGGGTTTCAAACTTATTTAGACTTAACTTTTTTCTATGATTCTCTCTTGCTCTCATTTAATCTCGTCTAGCTCAATCCACGCTCTATTTTCATTTTAGGTATGGGTTTTCTTAGTGACCACATATGGGTTAGGTCGAGTATGTATCGGGTATAGATCGAATCGGGTTTGGTATGGATCAATAGATTTGCATTTGCACGGAAATGGGTCAATTTTGATCGGACCATTTTCAACCCGACCTGATCCGATTTGCCCGTTTGACGGGTCTACAAGAACCCGTGGTACCGAGCTCGAAACTACGGAGGCCGGTACCCAGCATAATACAGTGTATGTGGATATGTGTAGGTACGTGGATCTCGAATCCCCTGAACGCCAGATCTTTCCCCGGTGCCACACTGGCGTCGCCGAGACGGAGCGTCGTCGGGAGATTAACACACGAAACAATAACCTCCTCCGGGCAATTACTCGCCTCTTAATCAAAACAGTATCTCAGCTTCTTCATCAGTACCTTTAATCCTCCTCCTCCTCCTCCTCCTCGATCCATAGGCGGCCGGTGGTCATGGAATCCGAACCTCCACGCCACGCCCTCCTCCGTCTCCCTCACCTGCCGGGACTGCGGTGAGCTGAAAGGCCAGTCTCCCCGCGGATCGTCGTCCGTCCCGCCGGAGAGATCCGTCGCTGCTCCGGAGCTTTGTTCGCGCTCGCCTGAATCTGAGGCTGTCGCGCTGACATCTCTAGAGAGAGAGAGAGAGAGAGAGAGAGGCGACGTGAGAGAGAGGGACGGGTTCGCCAGCGCCAGCGCCGCGCATGGCTATGCCGCGGCGGCGCCATAACTGGTACCATCGGCTCCGGCGGCTCTCCCCGGTGATATTCGCCTCCTCCTGCGCTCTCCTCCTCCTCTTCTCTCTCCTCTCGTTCTTCGCTCCCCCTCCTATCGAGCTGGACCACCGTCGCTCCCACCAGCACCAGCACCACCACCCCCCTTCCAAGGTAACCCCACGCGTTGGCTCCCTCCCGTCTTCCTCCGTTTCGGTGAGCGATCGGATGTGCTCGTTTAGGATGATTGATTTCTGATCGAATTGACTTGAGGATTGTTTGGTTGTAGGTTAGTGATGGAGTCGACAATGGGGCCGCTGCCACTGTGTCGTTTCGTGTTCCGGTGGGTCGCTGGCTTCTCTGTTGATCTGGCTCCGTTTCGCTTTTGCTTAATCTTTTCTTTCTGAATTCGCTCAACGTTCACTTCCTGTCATTTCGCTGCAGAAGAGTGGGGGCAAGCTCCAACGCGACATCTGGAGTTCGAGGAATTCCGGGTTCTATTACGGATGCAGCAATGCGAGCACCAAGTTTGCCAGTGAGTCATCATTTGCGAAACATCTATGAATTTATGTAGTAGCGTCGTCGGAATTCTAGTTTTTAATATGATCTCCTCAATCTGAATAGTTAGAATGTACCTGGGAAATATCTCTGAGATTTTGATTTCCTGTCTGTTTCGAAACTTAGAAACCTTGTTCAGCAATTGGTATAGACATGCCATGCCTCGTTTGCTTTTGCAGTTGATCCTAACACTTGTGGCAAGTTTGAAGGTTCCTTAAATGTGCTATGGCTTTTTATACCTCGTCATGAAATCCTTCTTCCTACTTTCGTATGATTCGGTATAATAGGCATATATGATGAATTGAATCAGATGTGGTCATTATTGTCTAGGAGCTGCAGCTATTACCCAGCCAAACCGATACTTGATGATTGCGACCAGCGGAGGCTTGAACCAACAAAGGACTGGGGTAAGTTTATTGCTCTTGTACCTTTCATTACAGTCCAAGCTTGCCCACACACTTGATGTGGCTTCCATTCATCTTCTGCTCTGAGGGTTAAGTCTGTATGACTGCACAAAACTCACCAAAGAACTCACCCGGAAGATTTTTGTCCAAACGATAGGAATTAAAATTCGACACTTTCAGATCCCAAATGTAAATGATGCTGCCAATTGATTTCAATTATGAATCTGTTGTCATTTTCTTCTCAGGGGAATTGTATTGACTGTTAAATGTTTTTATGGCATCGCTGAAGAAGCATAGTCTTTCGGTTTAACTATAAGTATGCATCTTCTTAAACCTTGCTGATTGCCAACATGTTAAATGAAAGATTGCGTTTTAACTCGAGCACAACAATTTTGCGCTTCACTTTAATTTTCTGTTCCCTGATCACTGAGCTTTACCGTATCCCTTCTAAACTGTTGGCCTTTGCACTAGATAAGTTGTTTAAGGGAAACTTGGATTGATGTGCTTTGTCTTGGAATCTCTTGAGAAAGAGACAATAGGGCTGCATATGATGTGGCTTAAGAAACTCATGTCTGTTCCATGCACTCGATCGCAATGGATGGTTGCCAGGCATAGTATTTTCCTTGGACTTACTACATATTTCATTTAGCTTTTGGAAGAAGTAATTTGGAAGTGTATACCTAAGTTGATATTGTGTTCTCAGTTATGCTGCCATTTTTTTTTATTACAAGTTATGCTGGCCATTGTTTTCGTAATGATTTTAGTCATTCCTTGACTGATAAACACGTTGGACAATCTCCTAATATGTTCTTTTTCAGATTACAGATGCAGTTGTTGCTGCTCGTATTCTGAATGCCACTCTTGTTGTTCCTAAACTAGACCAAAAATCATTCTGGAAGGACGCCAGGTTTGTGGTGATTGATTGCATGCACTTCCTTTCTCCATTCGAAGTATGAAAGCTCTTGTCGATAGCTGCTATATCTGGAAAGGACAATGGTTTTCTTCAGGTTTCTGTTATTCCCTTTAATTGACCAGTTTTTTCTTCTCACTCTGCAGTGACTTCTCGGAGATATTTGATGTTGATTGGTTCATCTCATCTCTTACAAACGATGTGAAAGTAATAAAGCAGCTTCCTAAGAAGGGAGGAAAACCATGGAGCTTCCGCTCCATGCGTGTCCCCAGGAAGTGTAGTGAAAGATGCTATCACATTCGTGTACTGCCTGTTCTTTTGAAAAGGCATGTAAGTTCTCTGTTTTGGTCCCTTTTGTTCAGTCGTTTTCTCTTTTTGTTGTAATTGTGGATTCCTTTCCCTTGTTATGTTCGCTCAATTGATGCTTTTGCTAGAGAGCTCATGATATTTCCAACTTTCCAAAAAAATCGATGCACATATTCAGCAGAGATTAGTTCTTATTGTCTAACGGAAATGTGAGAAGAAAACTGTTTCAGAGACCCATTAGTTGTATTTAAGATGAATTCATGAAGTGTGTATCCAGGGAACATGGATTCAATCGCATTTCGATTTGAATCTCTAGAAAACTTATAATTTTGACAGAATCATGAAAGTTTTCAAGCATCCAACAGAACTGACCTGGTTGTGGAAGAAGCATCAAACATGCGATGAGATGGTAATAGAAATCAAACTCAATTTTCCGTTTATTTGATTTTCTCCCTGTCTGCCCGGTGTAGGGTTTCACTCTATAAAGTGGATAGCTTGTCCATCCCATGAATAATGTATGATGGAAAAGATAAAGATAAAAAATAAAAATATAATGAGACCTATGCCATCAAGTTGTTCAGACACTTCATTACTAGCGGACATCTGGTTTTAGTGGTATCTGGATTGATGGCCACAAAGGGGATAGCTTCAAGGGCTTGACTTTTTTTTCCCTAGTTTGGTAAATTAAAACCAATAGGGATAGGCTGGATGAATATGCTTGATCTGTTGGATCTTCTAATCTAAATGACACACATTCTTTATTGTCAGATTGTCACAGTTTTTGGTATTCATTCTTACAACAGGTTGTGCAGCTCAGTAAGTTTGATTACAGACTCTCAAACAAGTTGGATACAGGACTGCAGAAACTAAGATGTAGAGTTAACTACCATGCTCTAAAGTTCACCAATCCTATACGCAAGATGGGTGATAAGTTGGTGAAGCGAATGAGAATGAGAAGCAAAAATTTCATCGCCCTGCATTTAAGGTAATCAGATTGTTTTTAACCCTCTTTAAACTCGAATTCAGTGCTTCCAAAACCAGACCGAGCCGGCCGGTTCGACCAGTTCAGCCGGTTACTGGTCAGGGCACCAATCTGGTTCAGCACACTATAATGTCCGGACTAAGAACGAGTCAAGCATTGGAGTTGACCCAGTTCAACCGGTGAACCAGTTTTGGTTTGAACTGGATCTGAGTACATAGTGGGGACATCTTTAAAAAGCTACTGTTTGGTGGTTGTTGGATAAGGATTCAATCCTAGCCCTTTCCAACTCCCACCCGACGCTTCACCATCGGGGCACAGCGTTTTTCTTTTGGTAATTTCTTGCAAAGATATTTATGTATTATTTAGGTGACACTTCCAAACATAAAAACCGCCTGCGCTGATGGAGCCCCAACCCACGGCCTTATCTTCCTACAAGGGCGGCACATTTTGCCATCTCAGCTATACCCGGCTTATGTTAAATTGGCTCATTTTTTTATATGCACTACATATTTGACTCTGGAAGCGTCTTTAATTAAACTGACCAGTGATAGTAGCCTAACCAGTTGGACCGGTTGAACCTCATACTGCTAACCTGCAGGTTCAATATATTGGTAAAATCTTGTGAGGTCCAAGTTTTGCATCTGGAACCTCTTGTCCCTCTCCCTCCTCTGCCACTTGGCATCTGCCTAGTGTTACGACAATTTAAGTGTACTTCTTAGGTTATTTGTCTTTGTTCCCTCAACTTTGAATCTCCAACCGTAATTTGGTATTTTGTGTTAAATAATGAAGTGTACAATGATTCTTGTGCGCTGTTAGGAATACCTACCGGTGAATCCATCTACTGCATTGCTTGACCCTGCGATTCATGTCTTAAGTGCCTGAATACCCATAGTGGGGTGTCATATGGCAACTTCTTGTCCTCGTGATGATTTTCTTTTTCAGGATTGAATGACAATTTCTATACCTGTTAGTTGTAGCACTATATGCATATCTTACAGGAAATGATCAAAATTTGACAGTTATTATTTATAAGTCTCGTAACATAGGAAACATTTTGGGGACTTCTGCCACCTGAATTTGATTTGCAAGGCATGTCTATGTGTTGGCATTTGAATATTCTTTTGCTTTTCAAAGGATGACATTACTTTGGCTGTTGTTATACGTACGTATTTTGGATGATATCTTGACACAGTGAGATTCTTCCCATAGGTTTGAACCTGATATGCTCGCATTCTCTGGCTGCTATTATGGTGGAGGAGAGAAGGAAATCAAAGAACTTGGTGCAATTAGAAAAAGGTGGAAGACTTTACATGTGAGTTTCCTACATCCATGTGTTTCTTTTGATATGCTTTGGTTGAGATATGTTATAGAAGTGAGAGGAACTTGTAAAAATACAATAAATGATGCTTGTCTGATATTCATCGCATTAAGCTTTAGTGAACTCCCGGGCATGTCAATTAATTTGCAGATTACTAACCCCGATAGAGCAAGGAGACAAGGGAAATGCCCGCTCACTCCTGAAGAACTTGGCCTGATATTGCGGGCACTTGGATATGGTAGCGATGTGCACATCTATGTGGCATCTGGTGAAATATATGGAGGGGAAGAGACTCTTGCACCCTTGAAGGCACTCTTCCCCAATTTCCATACCAAAGAAACTTTAGCCAGCAAAAAGGAATTGGAACCATTTTCTTCATTTTCCTCTCGTATGGCTGCACTTGACTTCATTGTTTGTGATGAAAGTGATGTGTTTGTCACCAACAACAACGGAAATATGGCTCGGATATTGGCTGGTCGAAGGTATGCAGAATGTGGTCATTTATGTTTCGTTGTGTCAAGATGCGTGCTTTGTCCACATCTTTCTAGTAGTTCTCTCCAAGGTCTTAACTCATTCTGTTGTTACTGCAGGAGGTATTTCGGGCATAAACCAACTATTCGTCCAAATGCTAAGAAACTGTATCGCTTATTCTCAGCCAAGACTAACATGACTTGGGAAGCATTTGCATCTAAAGTCCGTAGTTATCAGAGAGGCTTCATGGGGGAGCCAATGGAAGTGAGACCAGGCAGGGGCGAGTTTCATGAGAACCCATCCTCTTGCATCTGTGAGGATTCCGAGGCTAAGGCAAAGAGAGATTCGAGACCAAGGAAACTCGGGAAAGGTAAGGACACCCCCGCGAAAGATGAGGACGTCGTAGCCGATGATCAGAATATAAATGAAGATCCAGAATGGTCAGACTTAGACGACGAGGACAATGGAGATGCCCTTCAGGAGAGTAGTTTATTCAATGGGACACTGTTGGACTATGATGCTGCTTCTGAAGAACCTGAGTTGGAAGATATCCTTTCGGACTAGTCACCGCGGTCGTCTCGACCATGTTAATATATTCTGCAATGGAAACAGACCGATCTTTTCACCAAATTCAGTTTTCTCCCATTCCCCGGAGATTATGCAGCGATATTGCCTACCTGCTTGACAAGATGACTGCCGGGAATCAGTACATACACCTCTGGACCATTCATGAGAGCGAGTTCGTGATAGTCAGTAGAAGAAGGCGCGATACATTCTTACCTCAATGGAAGAGATCAAAGATTCTCCGTCCATTTCCGGCGAAGGGACCCGAAAGTGAGTAGGAGGTGAAGTGTAGAGGACCACGTCCTGAGTAAAGGTAGTTTTACAGGATTAACTAGAGACAGATCGTTGTTCCTGGATTTTTCTTTCCCCTGGAAGTAAGTATTGCGGACATTCTATGTCCGAGAGCAAGGGGAGGGGACAAGAAGCAGCAAAATCGCATTGTTCTCAATTAGCATTTATTTTCATTCCTGTTAGTTCACTGCTTCCCGTGCATCGAACGCGTGCTTAGGAGTACTGCCGTGCATCGCCGAAACGGCTGGATCGGGGTCGGACGCGGCTTCTCTCCTCCGGTGGGTGCCACTCAGGAGTCACCTGCAGTCGCACGTGAATGGGTCCTTTCTGTAAATTCCAATCGTGGGATTGATAGGAGGTTGCACCCACGATGACTGACCGCAGCATCTTAGTTTCGGTTTCGGGTGGTTTGCCTGCTCTTGCCAACTCCCCGTCGAAACGTGGATTACCTACCTGCGTTACCCCTTTGTGCGGTACCAAAAACATAAAAATGAAAATCCTTAGTAAAAACTGTTTCCGCCGGAAGGCTTCGGCCTGGTCCGAGCACAGGCTCGCCGGCCGTCCAAATCTGATACCATGTAGCTCGGAAAATGGCGGAAAATAGGCGGAAAGCGAAATCGGGCGATAAAAACTCTTCGGGGAGTTTCGAATTATGTTCGTGAATGAGGGGCAGGTGGGGAAAAATCTAAAAAATTGGCGAGAGGGGGGAGGGGGTGCCCCTCGGTAAATTCAAACAATCGATGTAAGTCCCGATCCGCGAATGTTTATCAAAAAAAAAAGAAGAAGAAAAATAAACAAAAGAGAGGGAGAAACGTCGATTCGGAGTGGGGGGGTGGATCTGTGATTCTCAGAGAGGGGGGCCAATAATTCCCCCCCAGTGGCCACGTCAGCTCTCCGCCCCCCACAGTCCAAGACGAGAAGACAGCCACGCGCCATGCCGCGTGCAATATATTTATGTGCGCAAAAGCGAACCGACCCCGAAGACGAGTAGAGAAGCAGAGCAGAGAGATATGAACGCGAGAGCAGTAGCGTGCGTTTGAAATTCCCGAAAAGCCCCCACCCCCCCTAAGCAGCCACCTTAGGAGCTCTCTCGTCACATCTTCACGCCCCAAAAAAAAAAGATCTCTCCTCGCCATCATCTTCATCTTCTTCTTCTTCTTCTTTCCCCACCCACCCCACAGCCCCAACCCCAAAACCAGAAGAGAGAGAGAGAGAGATAGAAAGAGAGAAAATACTTTTTGGGTCAGCGTTGTCCCAGGAAGAGGACTTGACCGATCGAACGTTCGTCGGCCGGCCGGTGGGCTGCGGCTGTTGGGCGCGATCTCTCCGGAGGGAGGGGGGGAAGTTTTCTCATGGAGAGCGAGAGAGGGCGGAGATGCCGCCGCTGCTGCTGCTGCCGCTGAAGAAGCCGCTCGGGATCGCCATGCAATTCGCCCGACGGATCGCGGGTCTCGACTGGCGCTTCCTCCTCCTCCTCCTCCTCCTCCTCCCCATCTCCCTCCTCCTCTTCCTCTCCATCTCATCCTCCTCCCCCGCCGCCAACCCCTTCTCCAACCTCGCCCCCCTCCTCCTCCTCCGCGGCGGCGAGGCCGCTAGCGGCCGGGGGGTCCCCCCGCCGGCGGCGTCGGCGTCGGCGTCGGCCCCGGTCCGGCGGACGTGGAAGGAGGAGCTGGTTCGGTCGAGGATGGCGGTGTGCCTGGTGGGCGGGGCCCGGAGGTTCGAGCTCACGGGGCCGTCGATCGTGGAGAGGATTCTCAAGGTCTACCCCAACTCCGATCTCTTCCTGCACAGCCCCTTCGATGAGAACGCGTTCAAGTTTCTGCTGCTCAGGAGCGCGCCGCGGATCGCCGCGGTCCGGATTTTTCGCCCGGAGCCGATGGCGGAATCGGAGCCGGAGCTCCGGGTTCTCACCGCCAGGAACTCGCCCAACGGAATTCAGGTACGCTGGGGAAGCGGACTTCATGAGTCCTTATGGCTATGTCTTTGTTGGGTCTCCGATGATCGTTTACTGCGCATCAAGTTCTACTGATCAGGATGCTTTGTTCATTATCGTCGCTCTTGTTCCGCTGCAAGTTTCAATTTTGTTTTCTCCCTTTTATCGTTTCGGCTTGGATTTGACAGCGGCCCTGTTCTCAGTAATTTCTTCAATGCACCATTAAACTTGCCTTTTGCTCTACATGGCAATATTTATCATCGGCCCAATGATAAAAGATTAGCATTTTTGCACGAATTGAAACGGCCAAACTCGTACATTTGCGGGTTACAGTGCAGACTTTGAATTTTTTTTTTTCCTTCAGGGTTGGCATTCCTCTGTTCATCTAGAATTGCAATTTGACCTGGTAGTAAGCAAACTTTTACCAGGTTGTCATTGGGTTTCTAGATTAGATGGGGAACTGAAAGACTGGACTCGTTCGCATAAGAACTGATGAGAGAGCCTGCATCTTCTGCGGTGCTTCTCTTCTGGTTCTGGGTTTGGGCTCATGGCTTAAGGAAGAGTTCTTTAATTAGGGAGTTGGTTTTCAGGGGGTTTAGCAGCCGTATGAACTGTTCTTGATAGAGCTGTGCCGGATGAAGAAAAGTCAAAAGGTTTAAATATTATAATGGATCCCCCCACCCCCTTTTAAAATCTTGATTTCATTCGGCAATGCTACCGTCACGTTCGTTGGATTAAGAAAGGAGTGGGTGGCCCCACCTTCTACCAACAAGACTACCCACTTCCCAACCACCAGCAATATACCATTATTCCTTTCACCAATAAGCTAAGAATGTCAATGACTATTCTTTAAGGCTTGTATAGTGCGTATCTACTTACTATTTAGGGAAAGATCAAGGGGCTTCGCGCTCGTATGAGCCACCCCTTACATCGCGGATGTTGATCCTGTTAGGTCGATAAGTTCTTGTACGTAACCGGATTATATGAGCGCATTAGATCTCAGCATTAAATGAGATGGAATCGACCCCCCTGAATGTTAGACCTAAATCATGTGATGTGATCTATTGACTACTAGTATTAGTTTAATTTTTGTGTTCACGGGAACCTAGTAGATAATCATCAAGATTTCCAATTTAGGATTTGGTTTCTCGATCTCTGATGTTTTAGATATTATTTTAATGTCTCAAGGGATCTTTTACTTGTTTGCTTAGCCCTATAGATTTGTGCTACCGATCCAGATAAGTAACTACAGTTTTGGGATTATAAACATGTCCTGATAGTTTCTGTAAGACAGTCCAAGTCAGTTTTCTAACTTGCCTTTGAATGGGAAATCTAAAGGATTTACTTCTCTGTGCACGGGACAATTTCAGTTGACCGAATCTGGTGTGATTTAAATTCAAATAATCCCCCTTTCTTCTTGATACTGATTTTTAGTCGAGAATTTAAATGTAATGCGTCAATATGGTGCTCATTAAGATATTATATATTTTGGAATTGGAAATGGATATTGCCATCAATCGTACCATCACAAGATCAATTGAGGGGTTAAATCAGTACAACTTGTATCGTACAGACTTCTAGTCTTTAACACACTACATGGAATCTGAAGTAGAACACTGCATCTTTAATTTTTTACAGCACGCTGGCTTTTGGGTGCCTTCATGAATGTTGAGTACCTTCGTTCTTGCGAATTCTATAAACAGTTGTTCATTATGACAAAGCGTTTTTTCTGCAGGGTCTATTGCAATACTTCAACCTAGTGGAAGGATGCCTTACCATGATCACGTCCCACCAAGCCCGTCACAACTTCGCTTACGACTGGATTGTCCGGACCCGGGTTGATGGCTTCTGGAATGCCCCGCTTGACCCGGACAACTTCATCCCGGGCCACTACGTGGTCCCGCCAGGCTCCACCTATGGTGGCCTCAACGACCGCCTCGGCATCGGCGACCTCCCCACCTCCACCGTTGCTCTCTCCCGTCTCTCCCTTATCCCCCAACTTGACCAGGCTGGTTTTCGCCAACTTAACTCCGAAACATCCTTCCGTGCCCAGCTCACCACCCAGAACGTCACCCACCTCGCCAAGCGCCTCCCCTTCTGCATTGTCACAGACCGCCAATACGCGTTCCCTCCAAGCCGGTTCGGAGTTCCGGTGGCCGCCATCTCGAGCAAGGGTCCGTTGAGCGGCGCCAAGTGCAGGCCTTGCACGCCCGTGTGCCGTGGTGCCTGTGTGGAGCAGGTGATGCCAGTGCTCGATAAAGGGTGGAGCTGGACTCAGTGGGATAACGGGACACTCGAGCTCTGCGACGCACATGGGGAGTGGGAGACAGGGTGGGAGAAGATATTCGATAGAGTGGCGGGGAAGGTGCTGGCAAAACAAAGGAAGAGAGTTTGGAATTTGAAGCTGAATGATTGTGTGAGTGAGTTTGAGAAGATGAGGAGGCGAACCGTAAGCTGGCAGGCCCCCGCTGCAGACGAGATCTGCAAAGTCGGGTTGGGTTACGCGAGATGAGAGAGTAGCTGAAGCTGGAAACTGATGGCTCCCAATTTTTTCACAGGTATAGATAATATATATGTTCTTTTGTAAATTTTTGAGGAATTTACAGTACAGTTTTTCTGGTTCGATATTTTTTTATATATTTTGCTTAGGATTTTTTGCTTTCTCTTTGGTTATAATCTTTTGGGGGGATGAGTTAACGGATAAATTGGAACATGATATACAAGAGAAACTTATAAGACAAAATGAGTGTCATTATTCCCACAACTCTTCTATACTGTCAATAGGGTACAAATAGGAACAAGCTGGTATCTTTCGGAGGCCAACATGCATATACCTATCTAAAACATAGATAGTCGAAGAACTCATGTTTTGTGTGGGCTTTAGAAATGGGGACTTCTATGTTCCCTCGAGCAGGACCTCCATGTTCATTACAAGTCATAAGTACCGTGTGTTTTTGTCGTGATTCCCGTATCGAAACCAGTTATAGTTATGTGTATTTTGTCACGATCCCTGCATGAAGTGTCTCCCCGCATATAAAAATATTTATGAGCTATATTGATCAATGGATGAGACCCATCATTTTAAAACCATTTACTGCCGTTCTAAGGGCTGGTTTGGTTCGACTTTTCAAATGCTACTTGGGGGAATGCAAATACCTTTAGGTGAAAGTCACTTGAGAAAATGTAAGTGGTGTTTGGTAAAAAAAATTTGTGAAGCTTCTTTGGCCTAAGTAGTGTTTGGTAAATTTTTTTTTGCAAAGGGCTTTGGCAATTTTTATTTTTAATATTTCGATTTTGCCTCTATTACTGTTCATCTTCTTCACCGTGAGGGTGGCCGGCGAGGTCGCCCGACCCAGGCAACGGCCGCCTGGGTGACGGCCGCCTGGGTCGCGCGACCCAGGCGACGGTGCTTGGGCGGTCGCCCGACACCAGGCGGCCGTCGCTTGGGTCGGGCGACCTCGCCGGCCCCTCGCCGGCCCTTCGCCGGCCAGATCCGCCCTCGCTGGCCCCTCGCCAGCCCTTCACCGGCCAGATCTGCCCTCGCCGGCCACTCTCGCGGTGAAGAAGATGAACAGTAACATGGGCAAAATCGGAATAAAGAAATTTGAGTGAGGGCAATTTGGGAAGGGAAAAATAGGTTTCAGCATTCCAAATTCTAACTTTCGGCTTTCCGTTCCCTAAATGCTGAACCAAACGGGGCCTAAGCTCTCTTGACGGTAATGCTAAGTGCATCCGCTTCATGGAAGCTCAACTTACATGGATTGTAAGATCAGCGGACACTTTTATCTCATTCAACAGTTCATGTGCTTGGTGCGACGGAGTTTTTCTCAAACTCCGGCAAGTTTGCAATCGAAGGAGCTTGCGTTTACCAAACGATTAATTTATAATAAGATTCTTTCATTCTTATGATGAGGAAGGTACTCCATTCATCTCAAAAAATAGATGGAACCTACCAGGATTGTGAGTAAAGAAAAGCACAGATGATTCAAGCGAAAGCCAAGTAGCAATAGCATTGTATATTTAGACTTGAGTAATGATAGTACAGATGATTCAAGCCAAAGCTAAGCCACAGACAAATGACAACGCCACTATTCCATAGCCACCATCGGACGTTTCGAACCGTAACCTTCTTTTTGTCATGACAAGTGCGAGAAGAAACTTTTGTAAGCTTAGTTTGTGAGTGATATGTTGGACAGAACCAGTATGGCAATTTGTTTTAAGGAGATTCGATATGGGTCCACGGATTCTTGAAATGTGACTGAGTTAATCTAATAAACCTTTTGTTTTTAATCTAATAGACTTGACCTCTGCAGGAGAAACCGTGTTTGATTCCTTCATGGGGCCAATTTACAACACACCTTTTTGTCGCATCGGTAAAGAGAATATTTGTAAGAATTTGTTACCATGAACTCCACCTTCACAACTCACTAACATCAACTGCATTCTCTCTAGATTTTGCTGAATGACTAGGTCGTCAATTCGTACGCGGCTAATCTCGTATTTAAATCACAGCATCTCTCATTTACAGTAATTTCGTGGGCATTGTCCGTCTTCCTATAGGTACATTCTTATTCAATGCATACGAACAACATGGTTTGTGTGTATTCATGAAAACTAGCCACGCTGAAATATTTGGAATTGAGAGTTCCAATGTCATAGGGAAAAGAAAAAGTTTGCAATGTGCACGAGGCTTTTGTCACTCTTCTCTTTTGGTCATACATACTTCATATTCGAACACGAACTTGCATGTTAGGTGGACGATCGACTTCATGCCTCTTGTGGGCGTATTTAGAAGAACTTCAATAACTCTTCTGAAATGTGTGACTAAGCCCAGCATCTGTTGTTGAACCTTCTTTTCTAGATTTCTATTTTTGCGGAATTTTTTAGATTACAAGTAGAGAATATGCTCAATTCACGACTTAACTTTAATGAAAAATATTATTAATGAGAATCGGAAAAAAGAAAAGTGTCTCCCCACAATTAGCTTATAACTGCCCGGTTTGGTTCAAGGCCGGTTCCTCAAGAGACCAAAAACTGACTCTAACATGGTAAGTTTCAAATCTTTGAACCTACTTCGCCTTGATTTGAAACCAATCACCCCAAATTGAATTCATTAGCATTTTACCGAAATGAATCACTTAAAAAGAAAACTTGTAACTCCAAACTTGCATAACTTAATGATGTGAATCTTGAAGAAAGATATTTACAAACTGAGAGAATAAACAAATGGTCCACGGTCCAAGGAGAATTAAAGGGAGTTCCTATAAAAAAAAAAGGAAGGACAAGTAAAGGAAGGCTGTCTTTCTCGGTTTGGGAAGGTGAATATTAGACTTGTTCAAGGGAAGTTGTCACTTCATAGGAAAAAGATGTGCATGTAGTTCCAAAACTCAAGACTCAATCGAAACCTATTAGGATTTGAGTTTGGTCGGGGACTTGATCAAGTCTTGACACATTTTTCATAACAATGTGTCCTCGTCAATGCCGTGTTTATTTTCCATGATAACAATTGTTTAGAGAGGTAAAGTTTAATTTCCATCGTATCTATTGCTATCGATGCTCTGATGGAAGAGATGCGCGCGCTTTGCGCGTTCGAGGTTTCATATTTGGTGCAATGTGCTAGGAGTGAGATATGAGAGCATGAATGTGTAATGGAATTGCAAAGTCACAATTGCCTCCTCAACGACTTCCCTAACTTAGACTTTAATTCTAGATTTGTGGAAATGACGACAATAATCTAGAGGATGGACACCATAATTCGAAAGTTGGCTTTCTATATAGTGTTGTTTGCACCAAAAATTAATCAGGTTCTAGGCAAGAGTAGGCACAGGATTTAAGGATGAATGGCTATCAACGCTCACGTGAACTATTATCGATGACCATAAGAAGGGCTTTCAATATTGATTCACATTGATGACCATGGACTAGTTGTCGACACATGATAGCGTCTAGTTGTCAATTATCATAATATAGTTGGTCGACCGGGATACCGATTAAAAGGGATTGACAGATTACCGGTTGAGAAACCAAATGAAAATTGAATGTTTGGCAGGTGCTGAACTCAATTATGGTATTTAAATTTGAAATCATTGGTGGATCGGGCAATGAAGTTAAGAAAATTGTGGAGGAAGACTAAAGTTAATCCAAAATGACAGCAAACTAGCGCAAAAAGACCAAGACGCAATTTTAAGGAACAATCACTTGGAAATAAGAGCATGACAACGGGAGAACATGGAACCACGACTCTTGGAGGTTTCGAAGCTTGGCTAAAACTGCAAAAGAACTGCTTATAGGAAGTTATATTATGAATGTTACTGAAGAGCCCCCCGCACACTACTCACAAAAATTGTTATCTTTCACTTTATGCACTGTAGTTATGATGGTAGTTCCCAAATACTTCGCCGTTGATTTAATTCCATCGTGTATCTTTGTTGTAGTTTATGGGTGCTTCGTTGTCGATTTAATTCTGGCTCTACATCTTTAGGTTCTCAAGCTTTATCGCCGATTAAATTCCGGCAAATTTTGTATACTTTCAATTTCGTTTGAAGTGAAATTGTTGATTTCCTTGTGTACCTATAATAGTTCATGTCCGAAATTGTCGCAGAACCTGTATCCTTTAATAAAAATCGAAGAACAACTTTCGATGAGAGGTATTTGATTGTGGAAGCATATTCTGACGAAACAAGTGTAGACGATAAGATGAACCTTTTTCAGTCACACCCCAAACTCAACAAGAATAAGGCATGACACGGCCATCCTTTCACCAAAGGACACAGCCTAAACATAATCAAAACTCACCTAATATCATAATATATGCCTCCACATATATATACATAATATAGAGTTTATTTAGTTACAATATCAGAGTTAACTACAATCCATCAAAAAGCTAAGTACATAACCAGAAACAAGCTAATACATTAAGCTCCACATCTATGCATAACTCGTACCAAAAAGTCCCCACTATAAAAAATGTCCACCCTGATATCGAAACTCTCAAGCCCTACTTGCGGCTCGGTAAAGAACCTAAAAAACAAGTAAGATGAAAGGAATGAGCTACCATGACTCAGTGAGTAATACATTTCTTCTAAGTAGATCGAGCACCCACTATGTACACAGTTATAAGACCAAACGAAAGCTCAATTAACCCAATATATAACAAACTCCAGGTTCAAAATACGTTATATGCTACTTTAAACATCACATTGTCACAATAGGAAAGCTCATTCCAATTAATAATATCAAAGAAGAAACTAATGGTCAAATCCATTGGCCAATCTCGTCAAAAAGTACACGCCAATGGTCCATTCCATCGGTCAATCTCATCAAAAAGCACACGCCAATGGTCTGTTCTATTGGCCAATCTCATCAAAAAGCACATGCCAATGGTCCATTCCATTGGCCAATCTCATGCTCAGAAATCTAACTATAATCACGGATAACGCCTCGTGAAAGACGACCAAGATTCCCCCCTTGGCAAGGTCTCCATCTATTATAAGCCGGTGGCACGGCTCACAAAGATATCCTAGACTAGTATGTACATACTCATAACCCCTCATTGGGTTCAAAAAGACACTAAGCATCAAAATCCACATCCTCCCATACCAGCAAATCCAATCCACAATCAAAATCACCAATATTAAGAAATCAT